ACCCCTCCGCCCAAGCCGACTACCACCCCTCCGCCTCAACCGACGACGGCTCCTACCACCTCCAAGCCTGAACCCAAGCCCACGTGCTCGGGCACCACCACGGTGACCGTCACCGCCCCCACCCCCACCGTGTGGGTGACTGTGGAGGCTTAAGTTGTTGCCTGAAAAGACACACTTTAACCGCAGGCCACTTTTCCTTTTGCGAGGAAGACTGCGTTACTTATATCACGACCATTCCCCCCTTATTCATGTCACGAGAAATTCGGTTTTTACTTTCATAGATTTTTTTTAATCCACAATTCGAGTTCATCAATGGTAGCCAGGGTTGGCAGCCCGCTGGTAATTCTGCAACATCCTTTAGGAGAGTTTCTCATTTATTCAATACAATTTCAGGCGTGCTTGTCGCGTTCCTGGGCCTCCANTCCTGGGCCTCCAAGTCGCGCTCGTGGGCGGCCTTCCACCCCTTTTTCCGCTGGCGTTCCTCGTAGGCCGCCTTGTTTTCCAATACCCGTTTGACGATGGTCTCGGTGTTCATGTCGTCGTACTTATGAGGGCCGATCTCCTTAAACAAGCTGGCAACATCGGCGTAAGGGTCGGGGTGGCCGTCTTCAAACGGGGTAGGACCATGGAACACTCTCACCACTTCACCAGGCAACGTCGCCAAGTATTTCTTCGTGGGCTCGTAGGGGGCCGCCAACACGATCGCATCGACAAACCGGCACTGGAGCGTACACAACGCCCGCTCAAACAAGTTCATGATCGGGTAGTTCATCCCCTTAAACTGCGACACCGTCTTGTCGTCGTGGATCCCCACCACCACGGCAGCACCTTCCTTTTGAGCATCGTCGTGGACGACGCGCAACGCCTCGATGTGGCCCGGGTGGAACAAGTCGAACCCGCCGTCGACGTAGACGATCTTGCTCAATTTAGCTTTTGTAGCCGCCAGCGGGGCGACGATCTCCGTCAACTGGGGCTGGTTCTCTTGGTACAACCACACCGCCAGCCCCGGGTGGTTCCCCGTTTCGTCGGTGGCGTAGCGGCGGAACCGGTCAAGATTGTCGTCATTGAACAACGGATGGTCCTGGTAGTTGCCGGTGACGGGACGGTAGTGGTGCGACTTCAGCATCAAGAGCATCCGCCCCACGAGATCGGTGGTCAGGATGTTCGGGGTGCGCTTGAACACGACGAACCGGCCCAAGTCCTTCACTTCCTGGTAGCAGTCGTTGCCGTTGGCGTCGGTGGTGATGTCGTCGCCGTGGGCGACGTAGGGGCAGTCGTATTTGTCCATGAACTTGGGGTCGGTGACGTAGGGGGCGTTGGGCACCACTTGGGTCACCCATTTGCAGGCGTTGACGGCGGTCTCGCGCTCGTCCATCCGCATCACCGTGGGGCCCTTGTGGTGGAGGATGTCCTCGTCCGAGTGGACGCCGACAAAGAGCTCGTTGCCGAGCTGGCGGGCTTGCATCATGGCTCCAGCATGGCCTACGGTTAGTAGGTTATTCGTATGTTTCAGGCGAGGAGGAGGACTTACCGTGGTGCACAAAGTCAAAGCACCCGTCGACCCAGATGCGACAGTGTTCAATGCCCTCGGGTTTCTCGTACATGGTCGACAGCAACGTGGTGTTTTCCCACGGTAGTCGCAACCGTCGCTCTTGGCTCCAGCCGCACGTGCGACCGCCATGCCTAGACATACACAAAACGATGTATACACACCCGAGTAAGCACCCACTAAGAGGATACTGTTTTGATTGATCAGTGGAACATGATGTTTCAAGTGAAATAGAAAATAAGTTCATCGATTGGTAAATATTACCAATTATGTCAATTTTTCAATTAATACAGAAAAATGCCTGGACTCCAATTCATACAAGGCAGAGTCCATCAATTTAAAACATCACCAATCGATGAATATCACCTATTCGTACTGTGTAACATAATAGTACAGAAACTAAATACAATCATCCTTTAAATCCAGCCCATTTCCTGTTGTTCGCCGACGTGGATCTGCGGAGACAGCCCCGGCTTGCGCCTGGCTTTCTTCGGCACCAGCGGCTGGGCGAGCGGCTGGTAGCCGCCGTGGGCAAACGTCAGCGGCTGCTGGTACCCCTGGTAGGTCGTTGTCCCTTCGTAGGTCGTCGCCAGGGGAGGGTAGCCGCCGCCGTACGCCAGCTGGGGCACCTGGTAGGTGTCGTAGGCGTCGTCGTCGTCGATGAACGGCAGCGCCACCAGGCGCAGCTGCTGCTGGTACGCCGGTTTCTGGCGCGGCGGGCCCGGTGGTGGCTGGGTGTATTGCGGCTGGGGCGGGGCGTGGTAGCCAAACAGCTCCTCGTGGACCAAGGCGCCCCTACCGGAATAGCCGGGTACGTTGGCTTTCTCCTCCTCGAGACTGCAGAGGAAGTCGTAGAGGATGGAGGCGTTGCGGGTCGAGCACTTGTTGAGCCAGCCAAAAAACAACCCGATCACGGGAGGGAAGGTGATCAACAAATCAAAGACGATGTTCAGGTGGAGCTTCGCCTCCACCTTAGGTGGGATCAGCACCTGTTCCGCAACAAGGTCGGTGAGACGAGTGTGCATGGCGTACATCACCAACGGGCCAAGCACGGGGAACAAGCCGACGACGATGGGGACGAGGCCGACGCCACAGTCGAGCCCCATGCCGCAGGAGCCGAGGAAACACTTGTCGTGGACCCACGCCCGCTTCTGCACCTGGCGCCAGAGCTTTTGCCGCTGCTTGGACGCCGTGGGCGGGAGCCGCCGCCGGTTGCCGTCCTTATCCTCGTAAGGGTCGGTGGTCTGGAAGTGCTTCAGCGCGTACTCTTCGCCCGCTATCTGGGCGATGCTGAACCCCGGGATCAGCTCGATTGCCTCCTGGATCCCCGACATGGTATAGAACGGCTAGAGTGGAGGTGGCTTAACTGATGGGGCGAGCGCACCGGATGCCAATAATGACGCAAACGCAAGATTAGTCCGACACTTGCCCCTGGGGCTGAGCACGCTATATAATTAATACAATAGCATATAAATACTGGTTTACGTAAATCATTAATATTAAGAGTGTCAAAGTAGAATAAGGATGATGGTCAAGATTTGTCAGCGTCGTTCGTTGTGAGTACCAGTGCGAGGGTGGCGGGGGACACCGGTTTGACGACGCCCGCCGACTCCTGGCCACACACGACACACGTCTTTGTCTTAGCGAACCGCAGCCGGAAACACCGCTTGCAGAAGATGTGGCGGCACTCGGCCATCACCGGCGCCGTGTACTTGTGCTGGCATATGGCACACACCGATAGATCGCGCTCCTTCTCCTGGTCCACCTTCTTATTATTGTCGACCTCCCAGTCCTTAGTTACTGGGGCCGTTTGCCTCAGCTCGTCGCGGATGTGGAGAAACTTACACGTGTCGCCGTAGCCGCAGTAGCCCGTGAGCCAGAAGTCCTTACACACGTCGGGCTGGTAGTCGACGACGGCGGTGGCCTCGATGGAGCCGGGCACCCCCTTTATGCGTTTGTGGCGGGTGGCACCGTCGTCGTCACGATCGTCATCATCGCCATCGCTCTCGCGGCGCCGTCGCAGGGCGGGGCTCTCGAGCTTGGCCAGCGACTTGTGGACGATACCGTTACTCTTGTGAGGCACTGCTGGAGCCGACGCCACCTCATCGTTGCCGTCGTCGCCGGTGTCGACCTCCCGCTTGCGTACACTGCCCTTGACCGCTCGCTTCTTGAACATGCACTTTTGTGTGGAATTAGAGTGTGTGCGAGCAGGGGCGAACCTTGTTTAGAGTGACCCGTCCCCGGGCGCAATCCACGATTGAATTTTGCCACTGAAATACTCGTCGGGGGCACCGGTGATACCTATTCCCGGTGGCTCCGACGTCGGGGGCAGAGGGGGTGCCGTCGCTTCGGACTTTAGCCACTAATGTCCGTAAGGATCGCCGACTCCACTAAAGGTCGCGCGCTAACCTTTTCTCGTACCACACCAATACCACACCAAAACCACAGTGTGATATAGTCACCTAATAACCGGTTATCATGACGTTGCCGATGATGATGTGGAGAGTGTCAGCGACGGCGTGGCGGCACGGCGTGCGCTACCAGTCGACGGCGCCGGCCAACATGTTCTCGCTCTACCCCAAAAACTTCCCCCACGGCGGGCCGCCCCACGACCCCTTCGTCGTCAACGACCGGGCGTTGCGGCGGGAATACAAACTCCTCCAGCTGGTGGCCCACCCGGACAAGCAGGCGAGCGCCACCGATGACGCCCAGCTGACCGAGATCAACAAGAGCTACCGCATCCTCAGCAACCCTTACACCCGCCTCTGCCACTTGATCCAGCTCCACCACCCGGCCCACGTCGACATCAGCGACGACGCCGTGGCCAAGGACTTGATTGCCAAGTACCAGAACAAGCTGCCGGAAAACCTGAGCCGGTACAAGGAGATGTTGATGACGGTGCTCGACGCCCACGAGCTGTTGGAGCTCGCCGACACCGAGAAGGACTTGGAAGAGCTCGAGACGGAGAACGACCTCCGCATCGGCGACAGCGAGGACGCCATCGACGCCGCCATCCGCCGCCAGTGGCCCCCCGCCGACTGGGACGAGCTCATGATCGCCGCCATCAAGCTCAAGTACTGGGTCAACATCCAGAACGCGTGCAAGGAGTGGGAGCCGGGCAAGCCCGTCCACTTGACCCATTGACTCCTTTGAAAGAGAGAAAAAAAACTTATATCCATTAATATATGATAAATGCATTACCTAGACAGTGCCCGAGAGAGAGGGCGAGGGGGGCACCTCCCCTCGTCGTGTGTGTGCCTCGCGTAGGCGACGATGGCCATTACGTCACCCCGGCGAGGTTGGTGGACCCTGAAGACTCCGTAGCTTCAAGGGCTTTAGTCGGAGGCCATCGTCTTGTCGTCGTCGTCGTTGTCGTCGCCGTCGCCGCCGTCGTCTATGCTGTCGCCGTTGGCGGCGAGCTGGGGGATTTTGAGCTCACACTGGTCGTACTCGACGCGGTCGGCGTCGGTCTTGAGGTGCATCCGCAACCACTTCATCCGCAGCCCCAGCGCGCTCAACTCGTTGATCTTGAAGCCAAACAACTTGAGGCCAAAGTCGTGCTGGTTGAACTTTTCGATGCGCAAGCGGCACTGGTTTTCGATCTCGGGGAACATTTTCACGAGCAACCCGGGGAAAGTGGTGCCGAAGAAGGCGCCGTCGATATTTAGGTAGCGCAGCAGCAGGGGGATGTAGATGTCGTTGCAGCAGGGACAGTACAACCGCACCGTCTCCAGCCCCGGGATGTCGGTCAGCCCCACGGGGATCAAGTGCATCCCGTCGCAGTAGTAGCGGGGGCAGGTGCCGAACTCGTTGCGCTCGAACTTCAGTGCCATCGCCGTGAGCCCCGGCTTCAGCACGATGTAGCGGGCGTGGATGAGCCCGTACAAAAGCTCGGCCAGGTGGGCGAGGATCGCCTTGTTGGGCAACTTCTTGTCGTCGTCGTCGTCGGCGGTCTCCACCTGGTAGTCGAGGATCGTCAACAACGCCTCGCGGTAGTACGGCACCTGCAGCGACAACCCGGTCAAGTTGAAGTCGTCCTCAATGAACTCTTGCGCCACGGGGACAAAGTAGTCGTGGCCAAACGACTCGCAGAACTGCTGGACCCACGGGACGTATTCGTCTTCGCCGTCGGAGGGCATGGCTCTAGGAAAATGGGGAACGTTTCCTAAACTGTGCTTAAAAAAATAGATGGGTATCTCCAAGCCACCAATGCCCAAGTAAACACGTTCGAATGGTGATGCGCCGCCTACCCTTCTCAACAAACTCGCTCGAATTTTCTTCGATGGTTGACTTCGCACCAGGTCACGTGACGGCGTGGGGACCCACAGTGGGAAACCTTGGGTATACTATAGTTTTTATGACCCTCAAGCCTGGCAGTCGAGGGTGGTTATCGTATTCCCTCGTAGGGTCGTCACCAAGAATACGATACTATGAATGATAATATTAATAATGTACAGTTGATTAGTATCTCTAGTGGCTCAGAGAATTTTACTGTGGTGGTTATTTGAGCCTACATCGCCTGATGGTACAATTGTAGTCAATACTGGTGTTCAGTGCGAGTTTTTGTTTCTGCTAGTCTTCGGTGGGCTCACCTTATGGGGCAGGGTTGCTTTCCCGATCGAGTAAGAGGCTTACAAAACCTTATACCAGCCCCCCAAATGCTAGCCAATCTACTGACAGTCCGCCTCAATCCTACCTATCCAACCATACTAGTGGATATAGGTGGTTGACGACGGTCACAATCCCCTAAATCTTCCCGCTTTACACTCACTTTGCTCGTTTTGCTCGCTTTGCTCGCTTTTGCTAGTCATCGTCATTTTTCTCCGGAAGTCACTCCACCGCGGGAGGCCGCGGGCGCGCGCGCCAGCATCACCGCCGGCGAAAAATGTTCTCATCGACACCAGTGGGAGGCGGTGTGTTCAACTATAGCGACGACTTGAGGGTTCCGTCGATGATAGCTTTGGACACTTCATAATGAGCCCCAGCCATGTACACCGTTATTGAACTCATCTGCACCCTCATCGCGGCGGTCAACTTGGTCACCGCCGTCGTCACCTACGTCAAGTCCCGCAACGAAGGCGTCACCGTCCGCTCGGGCAACTACTACCAAGCGTTCCGAATATGTATGACGATGTGCGTGGTGTTTGGCCTCATTCTGACCGGGTTGATGGTGATCCACGCCCAGCGGCCCCCCGTGTAGGGCGACCCCTCCGTGTAGGGCGACTGCCCCCCGTCTATACCAAATAAATGTCCTCACTTAAGGTAATGTAGAAGTACTGTAGAGTCTAAATGACAATAGAAACGACAATAGCATCTGGCTTAACAGCAGTGTAATCACCACCGCTAGAGTGGGGCGGAGTGGGGCTGAGTGGGGCCATTATCTACCAGTGGCGCCATTACCCTAACATCGCCCAGACATGAAGTACCCAGTTCGAATCCCATGGATTTCGTCATTCACTTTTGAATTATTAATTCAGGCAGTCATATCGGTAATTGCAGGTCTCGTAGTTAGAGTTGGTGCCTGGCATTAGAGATACCGGCGCTTCTGCTGTCCGATACAGTTTGCTACACGCAAGCCATCGGGTTTGCCGGGTGGTGGTGGGGGGGTGGGTTCGCCGTAACGGAGTGCCAAGACTGGTGGAGGCCGTCCACCACTATAATTCACTAATGGTCCTCATGGAGATATCGGTACTGTCTTTTTTTTTTTTTTTTTTTCCATGGGTTCC